AAACAGCTCCGACTCATGAATCGATATTCACCAATATTTGGTCCATGACAACGCGAGACTTCATACAGCACGAGGAACCGTTTTGAACCTCCAGGAACTGCAGTTAGAAACCATTCGTCATCCTCTGTATTCGTTAAACATTGCTCCAACGGACTACCATTTTTTTTCGTGATTTGGACAATTATCTACGTGACAAGAAGTTTTCTTCCCAGGAGGCAGTACAAAATGCTTTCACACAGTTTGTGTAGTCTAGATCATCAGAGTTCTTTCGTAAAGGCATAAGTGACCTTCATATTAGATGGCAGCAATGTAAAGATAAAAATGGTAACAATATTGATTAAATCAATTTGTTAAATACTAAACAATTTTGATTTTCAGTACAAATTGGCAAGTTCATACTGCCCTGTTATAACACCTGTTATACTTACTATTACTTAAAAAATACTCATGTCTTATACGATTCCCTGAAATTGTAGAACGTTCTGAAATATATAGCAAGAAAGTTAAATTGTGGAGACTGTTCGGTTCAGCGAGTAAACGAATGAAAACATGTTCATTATACGAGTTTGGAAAACACCAGTGTATGCCAGACAACTGAAAATACTAATTCTGTATTTGGGTCATACACTGTTAGCCATTTGACAGTCATTAATAGATGTGATCTTCTCAAAGGCACCAGCTTTGTAGAGGTAGATCGGCCTAATAGTTATTGACCATGAGAGCTCGGTCATGATGTTCTATGATGCGATATGCGATGAGGAAGTATTAAAAAAAAACATTAATTCCCGAAATCAAACTTGATTTAGCTACGGCACTTTCTTGATTTCTCCATGACAACACTTCCGGTTTTCGTTTATGTATAAAATTAATAAACAACACATATTCTATTTGTACTTTTAAGTATTTTTATTGATATCTAAGTATCCAAGTTTCAGTTTTTTAATATGTTAGTTAAACTATCTTTGGTCCATACGTTTCCTGCAAAAATGAACTTTTGTTAGATTCGCCATTTAGTGGAGGTGCTTTTTTAGTATTTTCTTTTTTTAATACTTCCTTATTGCCACTACAATGCGAATAATAGTTAGATGGGAATATTGAAAATCATCTACATAGGTTCATATGTTAATATTAGGTCCTTACATACGACTTAGGTGTCGTGTAGTCGAAGCGCGTTTGCCGGTTTGCTTTACTCATGAATTGAGTAAAGCAAACTTTTCAAGCTTTTTAATCTTTCCAATTTGCTTCAAGTGGATTAAAACAGTTTTATTACTAACACCGCAGCTTGCAGCTAACTTGGACGTGGTTTGCGATGGATCCGCTTCTTCATTATTAACTTGCGTCCCGAGCCGTCCACGGGGCTTGTTCTGCAGATCGAAATTTCCAGAACGAAAACGTTGGAACCAAAAACGCACTGTGCTTTCTTTTGCGACAAAACCGCCATACACATCATTAACCCTTCGAGCCGTTTCTGCAGCACTGGTACCACGGTGGAACTCGTACTCGTCAACAACAAGATATTTCAAGTTTTCCATTTTTTATACCGTTTGACGTAAATAGGACAAACAGAAGAAAAAAAAATCAAATGAATGCCATCTACAGAAACACAAATACATGTGTAAATTCTGTATAAATTTGAATTTGGAATTCCCAACCAAAGTGGAGAAATTTGTGATTAAAGTGGCCAGTACGACAAAACGCCAATTTCACATGTTTCATATGTAATAACGGTTATTATATAGACGCGATTTTTATATTGACCTGCGCCGACGTTTAGGCCGGGTTGCACCAGCTGTGGTCACGACAAGACTGGAGCAGCAAGACTACGCCTCTGCATCCGAGGATGAATCTTCTTCCACCCTCAGATTTTTCATCCAACTACCGTCACAAACAACACTAACGGTATTGGTGGTTCATAAAATTCAAGTTTACTTTTTTAGCGCTCTCTCTTTTTAAAATGGGAGTTAAAAAATACCAAACTACCAAAATAATAATTAGTAAAAATGAAAATTTTTTAGTTAACATGTAATGGTCGCTACCATTACTTAAATTATGCACAAAATGCGATTGTAGTTAATTTTTTATTTACTTTTGTAACCTTATCTCTGTAAATTTTCTTTGCAGGCTTTTTCAATTATACCTGAGTAGATACTGACAAATCAAATAAATAATCCATTGCTCTTCAACTCTCTTTCACTCTTAGTCAGTGATTATTGCCAGTTAAAGTAATTGTGTTTCATTGTAAATGTGATAACTATAGCTTTAGGCTCGTATTTGTATTTCTTAAACAAAAAAATAAGTTCAAAAACTAAAATCAAACTACAGATAAATCACGCTCTAAAAAGTTTGTACAAGAAATTGATTTTATAGCGATAGTTATATTATAATAGATATGAACAAAGGACAGCGTAGTCGTATATTGTAAGTTAAGAATTATAGGCAGAAAAATCCAAATTGCAATAAGAAAAGTCTATTATATGTAATTTTTTTTTACTCAATAAGTTAGAGCAACAATAGTCATTGTTATTAAGTAAAATTTCCCTAAAACTTTCGCGTAACATCATTTCTGGTATTAATTAACTCTTAAAAATAATGATATTTTTAGAAAGTGGATACTACCATGAAATATAAATTAAAAAATAAATAAAAATTCCTGGTTCGTTTTCTAATAGAGTAGAAAATATTAAAAATATGAAAGCGAAGTAAATCTCTAACAATTTTTTTGGTCTTTATTTTATTATTTAATTCTGTCCATTACAAAAATTACATAATCTTAAGCCCAACAAAACTATATTACGAGTTTGACTGTAGGTGGGCTAGGAGTCTGGGTTTGCGTTATATATATTGCTAGTTGTTTAATCAAAACTTATTGTAAGGACAATATGTGTTACAGGCTATCCATTAAATACTTCTTTAGTAAGTTGGAATTTTTTTTTGAGGTTACTTTCGTGTCTCTTTTGTATAGAGAACTATCCTCATAATAATTAGTAACCTCTGGGAACTACAACTACCTACTGCAATTGCTCTAGTATTATGTTTATGCGAGACGAATGGGTGACGCTCCCGATTACTATGGTTATTTATTGCAAGTATATATTTAACTGGGAGATATTTAGTTAACTGGGAGATTTTTACAAATTTGAAATAAATTTTTATAATCTTCCTTATAGCTATTATTAGTTTTTTTATTAACGTGTAGTTTCAAAAGGATTCTAATTTTTGTAAAATGTAAGACCATATGTGTCGGTCAGTACCCGAATATGAATGAATTACCTACCCTATTGATTACTGTACAAAAATGTTGATTCTGTTGATATTTTATCTATAGCCTAATCAATCTTTTTCAAGTTTGAGTTTACGTAATATAGCGATAACCATATTTATATTATCTGAACGTAAAAGTAAAATATGAAAACAGAGATTCGCACAACAGATTTATGTTGCCCTGGGGTATTCGAATCATTCACTTAAAGCTAAAGGAAATGCTTCACTTGTTACTTTTTTGCGTGGATATAATACAGCATTTTTGAAGGATGGTTAGCAGTTAGGTATAGAGTGATTTAAGTATAGGGTAATAAACTGTTTATTTATAGAAGGGCGGATTTTATAATATATAAATTTAAACATATAAGAGTATTAATTGAGGCCATGAGAGACGTCTGACTCAACGACATTATTTTTCATTGAAAATAATCAATAGTCAATAAAAATGAACGTAAGCCATAATTTCCACTCAGTTGGCGTGTTATATGTCTAAGTAACGTCAATTGGATACGTCACGATGACGTCAAATATATTTTATTATTGGTATTGGTATCCATATTAGGTATCTGATAAATTTGAACTTTTAAGATGACATAAAGGTATCTTCTATACTGTAATATTATAATGAGGAAAGATTTGATAGTTTATTTGTTTATTTGCTTGCAAGGAATAGGTCCCGAAACTACTGGAGCGATTTTAAAAATTCTTTCACCTAAGGGAAGTTATATCATATGCGGTGAATATAGGTTATATTTTATCCCGAAAAACATTGAATCAAGGGATTAAAATGGGAGTGGAAGTTTGTATAGGGAATCAAAACGTTGCTATAGTAACCATTGTTTACTATTCAATTTGTAATTGTAATAATATCCGTGTCATGATATGAATCATTATTGAAATAAACCGTTTTCAAGGTGCGCGGGCGAAGCTAGTTATATATTTTGAAAAAATAAATTGAAGTTTATTTGGAAATTGACTATTATGAAATTGACTTTACACTAACAAAAAATATGATTCAATTTATAAAATAGTTTTCCATAACAATTTATTTTAGAAAATCAAAATACTGTAGGTATCGAAGACTTCTTTGGTAGACATATTTTCTATACTATTTAAAAACTATTGTGAACAGTTAAACTAGTCCAGTAAAGAAGATATTTAAAGTAGTTACCAAATCACAAAAAATAATAATATAATATTTATAAGTATTTTTATAAGTATTACTTAATAAGTTGTAAGTACCGAAATGCATCTTATTTCATATAGTATTGTTGTTAATACACGCATATAAACGGTAGTACCGTTCAATGTTGTTTGAAACTAATGCGTCGGATTCTAATGTCACCTGTCATTAATTTGAAACGTGTAAAGTAAATTCCTTTCGTCCGCCTCATTCGGCTCTATAATATGTTATCACCGTAAACATTACCTGTACTAAAGCACAGACACCGTCAATTATGAATAGGAAAATTATAAAGTACGAAATTATGTTTTATTATCACGAGCGTACATTTCAATATCACAAATTATACTAGCGGTTTGTATAGGTATCCCGTAAAGTATACATTGTGATAATATCTAGCTGGTACGCGGGTAGGGTGAAAACTGAACATTTTAACGGCCTGAAAATTATATAATTTACGTTTTGTTTATAGACGGGGTGTATTTTACGCCTCATGAAAATACGCTCGTCTGCTATAATAATAATTGTAGTTTAGACAATTTGTTTCATTTCCATGATGGTAGGTATATTGTTTCTCTTTGTGTATAAACTTGACATTGAAAAGGGTTATTTGAGTAAGGCTACTTTTTTCCGTATTATGTTTTATCATATTTATTCTTTCATTTTCATTCATATGAATAAGACGCTATATAGAACAGTATTTTTATTGTAACATTAACGAAAATCTCACCACCGTTTCTTAACATATGATTTTTGTAAATAAAAAGTTTCTCATTTTTTTAAATATATTTTTATATAAAAGCAATAAAATATCATAACGGATTTTTCAAACATTTTTTCATTAAGAACATTTTCCCGTATAGCATTGTGAATGCAAAATTGATCAAATTTAATAAAAAAATATTTTATATTATTGAGACACGAGCAATAATCTAATTGAGAGTACCATAGTTCAACTATTGCCTATATTGTAAGTTTAATGACTACTTACATATGAACATTCAGACCCGAGACAATATTGATAAGTCACTTCGGGAATCGAACCCGGCAGTTTAGAGATACGACAAAGAGCAAGCAAATACAAACAAAGATAATACCTAACATTACTACGTTTATTAACAACGTAACTCGTATGTGTCTTGTTAGTCACTACAGTTGGGTCATTATAATCATATTTGACATCTCTCAGTCGTCGAGACTGAGAGATGTCAAATATGACGTATTATTCAAAGTAACCTTATAATATTATTATAACTTTTTCAAAGTTACGGCAACGGTACAATTGATAATTTCTTTGTTATCAAAATATAATTATTGTCATAATATAAAACTAAAGTTTCACGTTTCATTTTGACCAATAAAGCTTTCTAAATGTAATAAATCTATTTTATTCTTAACAAACTAAACGTCGCTACAATGTTAAGCCTGTGGACCCGTTGCATTTTTAAAAAGTAGGGATTTACGTATCTTAAAAAATCTAAAAAATTAATTGGCCTACTCGGTTGATTAATAATTATTAAGTTGATTTAATAATTATTTATGAAAACATGAACAGACAATATGCTTAATGAAAAATCGTTAAAAAACCTACTTGGTACCTGGTACTCTGAGATGTAGAATGAATAAACAATTTCATTGTACATATTTTTTGAACTCGAAGAATATATCACGATATTATTACAAAATATTTTAAATACGAAAATAGTGACAAATAAAGAAATGCAACCGGGTTGCATTTCTAACCACTTGCACTATGATGCACTATCGAAATCTTTAATAAACTCATATACAATTGACTTGGTAATGGTGTTCGAATTCCTGGTTACATTTAAGAGGTACCTACACCCTCAATTGGTATTACAATTGAGGGTGTATGCGTCACGTCTTTCAATTGGTTATGTATCGTTAAAAATTATAAAAAATCATATTTGTAATCTGTGACATCCAAAAGGTGAATTTTGGATATACAACCAAATATCAAAGTTACCCCTAAAATTCTCAATTTACTCAATTTCTTATTGTAATTATTTTTTATTGGAAAAATTGATAAACAAGTATATCACTTTGTGGCCGATGGACCATGGAGCATTTTACAATAGTTGATAAATGAATGTTGTATTGCAAGTAATTCACCAAACAGATTTTGGCGCGTAATGCGACATTCTCTGTCCCTATCTATTTGCAATACAAAAATGTTTTGGATTTATTCCCACTTTATATATGTTACATTACGCTTAGTAATAACTAATTTGTGCGTCATTCATTTATTATCTTTGATTTTCTTCTATACATAATTTAATAAATCAATCTCTCGAAGTAATATAATCATAATATTGGTATTACTATTGCACGATAACTTCATTTGATTTCCATTTATTTGAATACCATATCGATTCGTTAAATAAATCGAAAATCTGGAGAAGGAAGCCTCACTATCAAGTTCAGATTGATAGATGTCAAATGTGACTTTTTATAATGACCCAATTGTAATAAGAACATTTTACTACTCAATTGATTTAAGTATTTAAAACCACAATGTCGATTGCAAAAGTCTTAATAGGATGACAACCTGAAAGTGTATTGGCGCGAGACTCCATCCACGACCTTTGGCAATCCGGGCGATTGCTTTAACAACTAAGCAAATTAGGATCTGAGACTTCATCGAAACTTAAAAAGCGATAAAACGTCAGAGTCAAATTGACAGTGCAAGCTAATTGACTGACAAGGAAGCCCGTAGAGAAATCGACAAAGTGCTGCCAGTAGTCGATCTTTTTCCTTCTAATACCAATAATAATTAGAATAATATATGTATTTTCAGACAGTCGACAAAGCAGTATGCACGGAGGAGAGTGGCGCGGTGCGGCTGGAGGCGGTGTTGGTGGCGCTAGTGGAGCGGAAAGCGCGCGCCCTCCACGCGGAGCAGGCGCGGCGGCGGGCGCGACATCCGTTGCTGTTACTGCTGCGCGACCACCTGCCCGATGGTTAGACTGTTATCAATTATACTAATAATAAGTTTTTATTAAAAACAAAATAACGATTAGCGTTATAAACGCAGAAAATAGTTTCGATGTACTTACTTAAAAAAAAAATTAAGTAGCAATTTTAATTCGTCATATATTTATTGAGTGAAACTAATTGAAAGTTAGTAATTTTTGGTTTAGATGTCTTGACGAGTACGTCAAAACCAAAAATTACTAATCGAATCGGAAAGATTGTTCCGTACCCAAGTTAAAAAAGCTATTAAGCGTGCTCGAATCCAAATAAACAGAGATGCACAACCTTTCTAGGTAGGCAAATTTTACTCTTAAAATCAATCGTTCAAAGTTTCATTGTGCCTTGTTCAATTCAACGATAATTACGTAAGGTAGAATATAGATCGAAAAAGTTCATGATTATCGAATACGATAGGTCCATTGATCCGAATCGGTACTAGCTCAATGAAACTTGACGTCTTAGCAAAACACTAGAACGACGCTTATAAAAAATCACAGTAAAATAAAATACTAATGTAGACATAAGGTTAACCGATTAAAGAGTTTGGGTACTGTTAGTCTGTGAAGTTTAAAATATTGCGAATATAGATTCATGTCTAAAGAGTAAGAAAGAGTAAGGTAGGAAGGTATCTACTACATGGATTAAAATAATTAGATCAGAGCAGATTATGCCATGTCGCCTTTCAAATACGAGTGATTCAGGCAGTTGCCTAGTTTGCCTATGTCGCCGGGCCGACCCTGACCCGAATGGGAATAGATCCTGGGACTTCATTTTAATAAGTAGTTTTGTTAAAATATTCATTCTAAGAAAAAATAAATAAACCATACATTAAATCAAGTTCCCCAAAACTATGATTGTCTTAATCTTTATTTTCATAATTAATCAATTTACTCGAAAGCGTGTGTTCTCAATTACAATATAGTGTTATTGTGTTTGTGTCGGAGACAACTACAGTGATAATTTTATTTTAGAAAGCAAATAAATGTACTGTTTACACGCAATTTCATTGTGCATTTAAGTAATCGGATTCCATATTTGCAAAGCATGTATAAATAGAGGATATAATTGATTTCGGTACCCATTGTTTTAAACCAACTTCAAAAAAAGTTGAAAAAAATGGAACCGACTTCAAATTTAAAAAAGTGAATAATAATACTTATCTCAAAATCTGACTTCGATGTTTCTTAAAAAATTTAACCGATTTTAAGATAAGTATTATTTTTCACTTTTTTAAATTTAAATTGGTTACATTTCTTTTAAGTTTTTATTTAATGCATTTAAGTGATATTTTGAGTTTTGGGGTAACAAACATCAAAAACTTATACCTATGGTTTTCTCATAGATGCCATTGCCAGATCTGGACCTGAATCTCCATCCAGTAAAAAGTTATGAGGTAACAAACAGAAAAAGTCGGTTAAAAAAGGAGGTTAACATATATCAGATAGATAGATTTATTGTAAGTTTTTGAATTTTAAAATATCGGTCCTGTTTAAGAAAAAATACTAAATGTACTATTTATAAAATATTTAATTGATATTTTTTGTTATAGAGGAGGCATCTATAATTGGCAACCAAGGCGAAGAATTACCATCGCATTGGTGCGAGCATGAAATCGCGAGGCACAAACAAAGAAAGCTCAAACTGCATACTCATCCAAGGTAACACGCTTGTTCATATAGAAAAGAAAAATAAATATTACATTTCGAACACCAAAAGCCTTTTAATAGTTCTTTAGAATTAAATGCGTATCTGAAGTTGTGGACTTAACAACTCCAGGTGCGTATTTAATTCCATTTTGTGATTCTGATTGTTAGTATGGCATTATTATTATTACTTATAATATTATACAGAAAAATCTACACCTAATAAATATATCTTTTCTCTATCGAATTTTCCGGAAATGTTTTAATTTTTTTTCTAAACAACCCTATTCGGACTGTTAAAAACATTAAAAAAACACTATATTATTTTGTCGTCAATTTTAAGTTTAATCATTCTATGATTAAACGCTCAGAACATTTAATTGGTGATTAAAAGTAGACAAACTCTTAAGCATAGACAAAATATATATTAATCTTCAGACTGCTCCCATAGATAGAGGGAATTAATTTTTTTTTCTTAATATAAGTTTTCTAAGTTTCTTCGAAGCGAATTAATTTTTTGTTTGTTTTCTAAGTTTCTTCTCACTGATTCTCAAATAACATAATGTTGACTAACTATAATTATTTTCATTTATAAAAATAACAATAAAATAATATGTATTAGATAAGGTAGATTAGCACAAATACTGCCTATCAAAAGATAAGTATTTACAACATTATGAACATGCAATAAATCAACAGCTAAGTTTGTTTACCAGCGGCGTTGTTTGTGTACGAAGGCATAGAATCACTCAGAAATGTTATCATATTTAGGTGCTATAAGTAGGAGTAAAAGGGTAATAAATATTGTTTATGTGTTGCGATTCTATTTTGTTTGTGTCTGTGAACACATCATAGTGATGATATTTAGGCTATGCTTTCACAGAAGGCATTCGTTTAAAAATACAGCGATGAACACAGCGCTGTCACAGCATTGAAAATGGTAAACACAAACAAATAAGGTAAACATTAAAAGAATAAAAAAAAAAGATATAATGTAGATCTATTTAATGAATGAAGTATACATTTACAGATTTAATAAGTTCAGTTTTTTCAATTAATTAATTAAAACTAGGCCGATTTATTTTCTTTGCTTTACTATCAGTACTAGTGTTGCCAGACGACCCGTTGCTCTCTCACAGATTATGACCTGGTTTACTGTAAATAATCTCCAGTTAAATGCTAAAAAAAACGAAATGTATAAAGTTAATGTTACCTAATGTAAAAGCTGAACTTAAGAAATTAAACTTAATGATGAAAAGCTCGAGTTGGTTGATTCAACAATCTTCTTAGGTGTAACGCTGGATTCTAAATTGCAATGGCATCCTCACATTTCATTATTGGCAGGAAAACTAAGTTCAGCTGCCTTTGCAATAAAAAAAATTAGGCAACTTACAGATGTAGATACCGCTAGGATAGTATACTTTACTTATTTCCATAGCGTTATTTCATATGGCATTCTGATGTGGGGTATGGCTGCAGATATAGAGTCTATATTTATTGTACAAAAAAGAGCAGTAAGGGCCATTTATCAATTGGGTTCAAGAACATCACTTAGAGATAAATTAAAAGAAATTGGGATATTAACAGTGGCCTCCCAATTCATATACAATTGTATACTTTATGTTAGAAACAATATTAACAATTATATTAAACATAGTCATGTACACAATTTTAATACTAGAAACAAAGATAAACTTGTTTTGCCGTCATGCAGGCTAAAGAAGGTTCTATCGTCATTTATGGGTCAAGGTGTACACTACTATAACAAAATTCCTATGGAAATTATAAATTTACCATTGCTTAAGTTTAAAACTCATATTAAGAATTGTCTACTCAGTAAAGGATATTATACTGTTAATGAATATTTAAACGACAAAACTGCTTGGAGTTAAATATGGCTCATTTTTCATATATATTAAATTGTTAATCGGTGAGCTTCTTTGGCTACACATGTGATTGGATTGACGAAAATACTGTTTTACTCTAATATTGTGTAATATTGTAATGGAAAGTGACTTCAAATTTTAATGAAGTCATTTTTCAATCTTGACGCTCTGTATGAAATAAAACAGGGAGAAACAGCAGCCCTTGCCGAGTTTCTTGGTTCTTCTCGGTACAAGATCTCCCGCCGTAGATTTACGAACCGATGGCGTAGCTCTCGACTTTCACAAGTGCTTGTAACAGCCTAGACTGAATAAATAATTTTGATTTGATTTGATTTGAACCCGTATTTTATACATAAATTAAATGTCCCGCCGGGACCGACTTAGTACCCGTATATCAAATCGATTGTTGATGAACGAAATAAATGTACCGCCATCTTAATAAAAACCAAATTAATAACCGTATTTTATTATGATTTTAATTCATTTTTTATTAAATGTATAAAATATTTTAAAACATGCGCGTTTCTCTGAAAAAGTATAAAAAGAAAAGTTGAAATCCCATATTTTTTGCACATTTAAGCATTTGTCCCTTACAGGCTGAAAAAAATCTGGCAACCCTAATCAGTACTTACATTAAGTCATGTTATAATGTTGTCTGTTTATGCCGTTATAATAATATATTTTCAAATATCATTCAACATATTATCTTTTCTATTGTATATTGTTGTATGGCACAGCTAACTGGTGAAAATCAGAAAAAGAAATGTTAGGTAACCACTAATAATAATGCCACTATTAAATTATTATGTTATCATTATAAGATCATATTTATTTTTTCTCTAATTATTGTTCTGGCAAATGCACGATTCCAAAGCATGAAAGCACTCGAGATAATAAATTTTTGGTCACCCATTCTATGAGCGGCCATTGCGAAAGTTGATTAACAGCTGAATCGCAGATGAAGCGGACTAACTACTGCGCCATCGAGCTCCTATTCAGCTACTTAATTAGGAATCACGTCGAAATTTTACTTTTAGAATTTCATGAGTGTTGCTAGTAACTTTGATGGATAACTAAGATTGAGTTTATTTAATTTTAGGGATCTTCGGAGTCCCGAACAATTGGAATTGGAAAGGCGACGCAGACGGCGCAGACGTAGCCCGCATACACAATCACAGAAGCTCAGGAAACACCGAACACTACTCGTCTCTGCTATCGACGAGCAAGCTAAAGTCATACATGTAAGATGTATAGATATAAGGTGGATTCTAGTAGGATATTTAGTTGGCGCAAAAATGGGCGAAGAATGTTATGGGGGAACATCATTATTATATCAGTCAGAAAGCGTCCTCAACAGCGGTAACTCGTAAATTATATACTTATACAGGAAAAAAAATTTCATCGATCCAAAAAAAGTAATATAGTTTACATTTACCAAGACAAAATATTTTGTAATTCCATTTTTAGGGTTTCGTACCCAAAAGGTAAAAACGGGACCATATTACTGAGACTCCGCTGACCATCCGATTGTACATCTGTCATCTCATAGACCTGACAATTGAAATACTTTTGTTGCCGCTGTTACTAAAGACAGAATAAAATAAATAAAAGAATTATAAATGTAAACATTTTGTGGATACAATAAATAGAAAAAAGAAAATTAAGTATACCAACAATAGACGAACTTTTTTGATGTAGACAATAGTACGAAACCGTTTGTGCGCGAGAATTCGGCCGGTTTGTAATATTTAAATTGGTAATTTTATATTTATTTTCATTTTCATGTTTATTTTAATGGGACCTAGTAAACAAACTCTTGACATGTATGTTTTGCTCGAAAATCTAAATTACTCGTTGAGGGAAAAAATGGTTCACAACGCGTTGTGGTCACAGTAAAATGTTCACATATTGAAATTGGTGTTATGACTCTTAAACGCTCACAGCACTTTGTGGCATTCATAGAACAACCACATAGCGTAATCCGTGTCGTGGCTGTCATGCTATTAGTTAAACCAATTAATGCTCAAAACCCGTCGTGGCTTTTCTTCATTGCCACAACGGGTTGAGGTCGAATAGCATGTCAACACGACAATGTAGTTATTCTGCGTTTGCCACTAGGGTTTATTTTTAAATAGGGTGTTTTTATCTTTTATGATTTATACCAATTTAGCATTGTAAATACAATATATAACGTGTAAAAACTGGAAAAATCATATCAACAAATTCTAATTATGCATCATTATGACATCCGCCTTTGTATTCAATGTATATTCCAAATAAATTATCTTAATACATCATTATACAGTCTTTCAAATTTATATAATTCAAATATCACACACAGCTGAATCTTGGTAATAAGGAACCGTTTTTACCGTATTGCGCACGGAACCCCAAAAAGGAAACTATTGAAATAATTATTAGATCGAACAGGATAATGAGGAAGTATTTAAAAAAAACATTAGTTCCCGAAATCAAACTAGATGTCTACAATACGTTCTTGATTTCTCCTTGACAACCCTTACAGTTTTCTTTTATGTTTAAAAGTAAATTAGTTTTCAAAACTTAATAAACAACTCATACTCTATTTTTACTTTTTCGTATTTGTCTTGATATCTAAGTTTCGAACTTTTCAAAATTCAGTTTTTAATATGTTAGTTGTTAGGTTCTCTGCAAAAATCTACTTTTGCTAGAGTCGCCATCTAGTGGAGGTGCTTTTTTTAGTGCTTTCTTTTTTTTTAACACTTCCTCATTGAGTAAAAAAACAGCCAAGTGCGAGTCGGACTCGCGCACGAAGGTTTCCGTACCAATGTCTATTGAAAAAATAATGTTTGTAGTTCTTTATGGAGTTGTTCGAAGTTTTCGAGTTAATTACAATTGATAGACTATTACTCGTAAACTCTTAAAGCCAACTTAAGTGCGATAGTTTTCTTTTTAACTTCGTTATATATAGGTACTATTGTCGTAACGTGTAAATTTTAACCAATGACCGTTTAGTTAGTAGAGGGAGGAACACTTGACAATCACGAAAATTAGCCCTTTACAGCTTAATAAGTCACAAATGGTTGACTTAATCGAAAAACGGCTTTGATATAATAATTGTTATTTATATTATTTATTGTTAGTTCGAGTATTGAGTCTCAGCTAGAATATTTATCAACCCAATGTGGCGCTGGCAACTTTAGTTCAAAGTAGCAATCTTACTAACTAGAAAATTTAGGTATTTCCGCAATATGAACGCGAAATGCGAATGGTTAGTTTCTTTATTATTTCTTAAAATTTATTTTTTCTTAATAAAATTCACGTAATAAGGTTTATTATAGTAAGTAGGTAATAAGTCAGGTATTCGTAAATCTAAAATACAGACTTCATTTAAACGATAAAATATTAAATAAAGCCACTAGCAGCTTAAAAATCATAGCTTTTCATAGGCATGATATACAACGTATAACATAAATGACGTACATCCTTATACATCCCAACTAGAAAATGCATATATAATCCTAAAACGAAAATTAGCATTTACTTTTGTGTACTAAAACATTATTTATGTATGGACGCAGTTATACTAATTGCTGGGTAACAGTTTAGACATCTTACAAATCCACGCAATGACGTCGAAATTACGGCTTAGTCTGCATCAACAAATGTATGTACCTACATCGCAATACCACAATGATACCACCTACCCACTAATAAAAATTTTCGACGTGAAATATTATTCTGTTTCGAGATTCAAAGTGTTTTTTTATTTTTATTTAGACAATAATTCGATTTTTACTTGTTATGAGTATCGGCTAGCATAGTATCACCACATTATGCTTAACCCTTAAGCATTAGCTTGATGCATTTACTGTACGTTCGACGTAGGTCAGTGTAAAAATTGCGTCTAATACCCTGTATTATAAGTATTTAATAATGCAGCGCACGTTAGAAATGAATATTTGATTAAACGCTATGAATTTACCCAGCGGCATCTAGTTTGTTGCCGAGAACTAATTTATTTTTTAATACTTCCTCCTAAGTATTTTCCTTGCCAGTGCCATCTATGCACCAAGAAAGATAATATCGTGTTAGTGAAAAGTTTTAATTTATGCGCACATACATATAGCATTAAAATGAAAAATGAAGCTGGGAAACACATTATTTTATTATAATGATAACTTATTTTCTGTCTGTGGCTTTGCCCTTAATTAAAGATTCAATTATGCCAAATTATTTTTAACTTAATCACTCAGTTATTATGAAAAAATAAAAATGCTTATAAAATCCACCCCGGACTTTTAAAGCATTTTTCATTAAGAATATTTTTCTAAAAGTTTTAAAATATAATAACAATAAAGATAGATAAATATTGTTTTACTTGTTTTCACTTCATTAAAAATCAGCTGTGTAATTTTATATTATTCATAGTTTAAGTATATCTATTGCGCTATCTATCATATACTTTTTGCTTCAAAACATAACACAGAGGTGACATTATTTTTTTTGGTTTAGCATCGCTGTGAAAGTTCCACTGAGCTTATTAATTTTTGTACCCCTCTAGAGATGGCGCTGTAAATTAATTTTTGTACGGTCATGTCTGAAACATTTTGTTTGAGTAGCGATGAATGAATATTTTCACATTGCTATCACAAAAATGAGTATGTATTGTTGTTGTATTTAGAGTTAATGTATTATGTATGTGAGTTTCTTAAATATAAAATAAATTGTAAGATTTGAATTTAATGCATGAATTATTAGGAACATTTCATTCCGAGTGACAATAGCTACATTAAAAAAAAAAAAATGGCAGACGTTTGGCGCCATTAAATTAAAGATATGTATCTATAAGCAAAAGTAATATTTGATTGTAAGTTTTCAAATATTTCCCAGTTTTTAATATCTTAAATCGTTTCGATTAAAGGAGACTAACAAAATGTGATGTGATATTCGGATATTCGGATAATGCTATATATTGATATTTTTGTAGAAAAATCGGTCTGAGTTTAGCGACAATTATAGTACTACATAGCAACTAATTTCTTACATTGTTAACATGAGGTTGCTGATCTCCACCCTAATTACCTTTTTGGACACAGGATGCGACGCTCGAGTGACCTGAATTTACTTACAAATCAGATTCACATTTCTTACATTTCCTAAGTTGTTTTCTGTCTTCTATCCCAGTCATATGGGAGCTGTTAAGAAAAAAGGTAATATAACGGTTTAAAAAAACGTTATATTATCTTATTAAAAAGGCCAATATAATTTGAATGAAAACGCAATATTAATATGGAATGAAGTTGATCTGTTGATGGAGGTTGTAAGAATGTAATTTTATCCAACAATACTCACTTATCTTACACTTAACAAATTGATGTTGGTACCTCGCGTTTCTAAAATCAATCAGAATACTTTTATTCTATTATATAATATACCATAGAATATATTATATATTCTGTGGATGTATTATATATTCATAGATTCCTCCTCATCTAATTTTAAACAACTGGTCTTTAATAAAAAAATATACAAACATTAAGACAACGTGTTGATAACAGAAAAATCTATCTCAAGTGTGAGTCATTACAATTTTTTTTTTTTTCAAAGGTTTTGGACCCCGACGAATTGCCGAGGCGTGCTCGTTACACTATCATGGTGACAGCGTGTTTGCTGCTCTTCCTTTGTCTACTATTAGTAGGTGTTACGTTAAGAATGGCTCCACTCATCGATGATATGGGTAAGTACTATATTTAATATTAGTCCGTGACTTCGTTCGCTTGAACTACACTAGAATGTATAAGTTTGTCGCCCTTATCAACCTCAAAGAAGTCAAATTTCAGAGGTACTGAAATACTTTAAACAGATTAGCTTTAACACTGACAGTTATATATAATTTTAGATCGCTTTTTACACTTTTGTGCGACAAACTTCAATAAATCTATCTTAGCGGTCATTACACTATATAGGGAAGTATGTAAAATGTTTTATTTGTAATCCAAGTACATACAAGTACAATGATATGTTAGTCAGTTTATAGACCTTCAATCAATTAACACTTTTATTACCTTTTGAAATTTGTTCAATTAACTTTGAACGTTAAAATGAATCTTTACATTTCACTGGCTCGCTTTTTTGGTCGCTCTTTGTTTTATTGATCCTAATAAATAAGATGAGCTTGTCAATTTTTTTTCGTAATAATCGCTATATGACCTCAACTACTTATTTGGATTTTTCCATTGTAACTGAAATCCAATATAAGAAATACTATATTAGAAGTACTAGTCTTCCTCACAAATCAACGGTGACAGTTATAAGTATAATAATATTGGACTTCAGCTAGATGTACAATGATAAAATGCAAGAAGTCGAGATTATTTATATAGATTATTGAGATTTAAAAAAAAAAAACAAAAATAAAAGCTTTAGAATATAAGTATAAAAAAAAGGTAAGTAAAACTATGTTATTCTCATAGCTTATGGTATTCTGTAACATTTATTAGCTTTTATAAATAACTATACAATAACAATATTAGATAGAAAAAAATAGATTTTATTCGCATCTTACCTCCTCACGAACTGTTGACCAATAGTTTACTTGTATTTTTTTGTATCTTTATATGTATTATAGTTTTTAATATATCTATGATAGTATGTAAGATTATTAATCCTAAGTAGGTATAGATCCAGCCGGAACACCACGTACTACTAAGTGCCTGATGATTCGGAATAAAATAAGTCAATGTAAGTAAATTTTCAGGTACATGATTAATCATAAATAATGAGTATTATTCTCTATGGCAGCCTTTCCAGAGTGGATGTTGTGGGCGCTGCTAGCTTAAATGGGGACGATAAGAGACCCAGAAAAAAGGGAGGCGTTCTATAGAGGCTTAGGAAAAATTAATTTGAAACTTGTGTACTATCTACTGCTCTCAGGTCTCAAGTTAACTTTTGCGGGTTATAGTAAAGTCTACTCTAATATATATAGCTTACAATAATTATTTAAATTTGAAATTATAGTAGTTTTAAGTAGTCGTAAAATAAAGGCGCTAAATTTTTTTTATTATCAAAGTCGGCAGTAGACTAAATAAATAAGAACCAGGGGTTCCCAAGGTTTTTGTAAGGCAAGAGAAAAATAGATAATCACTTAAAATATATTTTTTGATAGTGTTGCTTTATTTCCTACTAATGCCTTTAAAAAAATGTTGGTGGATCCATTTTTTGTTTGGATTTCATTTAAGATAAATATACCTTTACTCTTTTGAGTTCTTTTTCATTAGATTTTTTTTAAGTCGGTTTAATTTTAAAATGTTTTTTTTACAGAAAGTAAATAAAAGTTATTGGTTGTGTTTTAATATTACCTATCAAACTAAACTTAGTTTTCATACCAAATTTCTGCTTTCTTGGACATCAGGAATCAAGTATAAAAGTTGTGCAATTGAAACTTCATAACTTTATTAAATCGACTGTTGATATAAGACATCGAGAATTTTGTTGATCTGAAAAAAAAGTTAGCGCCGTTGCGCTTTATTTAGTTTATTTTGGCCAGAGCATTACCGTGCCCTTAGATTCTAAGCTAAGGGGAACGAAAACTCGTAACACCGTCGTATAAAAATTAGAGTAAAATGTGATCTGTTTCCTTATTCTGTAACTATAGCCACTTCTGAGGACAACTGAAAGTTCACGGAGCACTGTTTGTGGTATTTTGTAATATTTCGTGTATGTATTTTTTAATTTAGATGAAATTCATTGAAGCTCACTTTATGGTGACTAAAATATTATTTCGTATGCTTACGGAACACGAAATTATGTTTAATTGATATATTAGATCGCCGATGTTGACAGTTTAAAATAAGTGATTTTGAGAAATAAGTGAGATTGAAGTTGTTCGCTTATTACGGTGATTACGACTTTTGTTTGCCAGTTGAGCGAATACGCCTGCTGGTCGTTCTTGCCGCTTTCTCTAAGCTCAGTGCTTCAAATACGCTTGATGATAAAAAGTTACACAATGAATAATCCTTACAATGATCTTATTGACGTTCGATTTATGCGACATGAGATACTAGTGAAAATTTCACATTGTAATTATGACACCTTTAAACGTCATTCTTCGAGCATCACCAAAAAGGGTGGATAAGACTTAATCTGATGCTCAAATTACCACTATTTAAGATACAGCTCATATTACAAAATCACCTGACATACGCCTACAGCATATAAAAATAATATTCGGAAATTATTTAATAGTTAGAAAAGTCAATTTAATTTAATGGAAAACAGGTACATGAAAATCAAAGTTAGCCATTTTGACTTACGTCCAAAATAAACACAAAAGAAACTAGTTTCATCATACCGTGAAAAATATTATTTACGAGCTACTGAAAATTGCAGCTAAATGAAAAACTTCTCAACAGCCAGCTTTGGCTGGCAAGTTGAAAAACAAAGAGAAAATTTTAATTTGTATCGTTTCTCTGCTAAAAGCTGTTATAAGTTCTTAGAAACTTTCTTGAACTTCGTCTATTGCGTAATAAACAATTAATATGTACATTGTTTGCTTAGATAATTAGTATTAACGTTATTTGAATAATTATTTGGCTAAAATTAAAGAATAAGGAAAGTACTGCTAGTTGGGAAAAAAAAGAAAATAATGGGATATCCAAAACCTTCAAACCGCTGTGAGTCACTAATCTAATATGTTTTTACAGAATTATTTGCCCTTTGTGGTTATATAACGGCCATACCACTCAACCGTCATGATGTCATAAAGACGTGTATACGAGAAATTCAAGGCACATAGCCTTAACAAACTTCTATAGAATTTATGTGACAATAGGGACGAAGCCATGACGAATTCTCTCTAGTTTTATTAAAGCTTTCTAATGTTTAGAAGTCTATAAAGGGTGTTAGAAGGTGAGCGGAAAGTAAAGTACTAAAAGTGTTTACGTCTATAAACTAAGTCTATTTTAGTGTAAAAACATTACGCCATATAACTGTCCATTATCACAAGACATCTTTTACTAATATAATAGAGATGATATTCCATTTATATCCGTATCGTTATTTTCTCGAGTAATTTGATGGTAGCTTTGTTATTCGCCAGCAATTTTCTTGTGAATTTATGACGTGGTACGCAGGGGAATTACTCTTTATTAAATTTTCAATTACATAGTTGAACCAAGCCAGAGATCGTGGGAGTTCTAACGTTTATTTTTTTAACACGCTATTGTATGTTACGTAGGATTTTAGCAGCTTTGTTACTGACTTAAGGAAAAGTTAGTCTTAAAAATGAAGCCAATGAATAATTTATATTAAAATATATTCATCTTATCTTGAAAGTTCCTGTTTTAGTTTCTTTAACTTTTATACTCTTTCATTCGTTTGCTGACTATTTAAAAGTGTATATTACAGTAGATATGAAACTATTATATCTCCACTTTTAAAATGCGTATAGTAGCTAAATTGTATTTATTGACGTAACCTTTCAATCATCTTCGCCCACTATATTATTAGTAAATCTTTTGTTTATTCTGTTAAAAATTGAAACTCTAATGCATTATTATTGTGCCAGTGATATGGTTTGTTGTGAACGAGGTCTTTTTCAATATATTAAGTCCGTATTTGTACCATATACCATTTATACCATCTTTATCACAACTGGCTTTCCATCAATATTGATGATGACATGTCTCTTTGTGCAGCGCATAAATGATCACTGAGAATAAGTATTTTACTTTCACTTACATTTTAATGACTCATATGCTAGGGAAGGGACCCGCGTAAATATAAGTTTCAAGCTCCGGATCCACTTAGAGTTTACTTTTATTTCAAGTTGTTTTTTTTTTATTATTTTATTCTCAATTTCAATTTTATTCTGCCATTCATGACAAAAGTAACTTTCATTTATTTTATTAGATTATTAAACAATTTAAAATGTGTCAATAAATAAGTATTTCTTACTAGTGTTACGTAGGCGAAAGTCACCGTGACATTTTCACACAAAAGCCCGATACTGAGTATTCATTTATAATTTAGTACCATATTTTGATCTCGATATATTTATTTTCTGATATTATTTTATTCTGTAATTAAACATTATTTAATTTATGTTTAAGTCTGGTTTTAATAATTTTACAAAAATGTGACAATAGTTAAATATTTCCATAGAGTATTTATACGAGGGTCAAACTGAAAGTTCTTAGAAAATCAAAAACTGATTACATTAGCCAGTTATTAGTTTTATTATATCTTTTCAAAATATTGTCCATTCACGTCAATACACCGCTGCATGCGATGGAACCACTGGGAAAAGCACTTTGCCCACTCGTCCTTAGGGGTCTCTTCAATGGCATCGCGATACGCAGCCACCGCTTCTTCAGCATTCATAAGCCGCTTTCCTTTAAGTTTTTCTTTAATTTTTGGAAATAAATAAAAATCACAAGGCGCGAGGTCGGGGCTATACGGCGGGTGACCCAGTAATTCAACGTTTGATGTCGCCAAATAGTCGATCGTTCGCTTGGCGGTGTGCGACGAGGCGTTGTCGTGGTGAAGGAGGATCCTACTGCGAGGTCGTTTCTCTCGAACTTTTTCCAAGACAAGTGGCAAACAATTGGTAGTGTACCATTCTGCAGAAACTGTTTTTTGATCCTCTAACACAATTGTTGCAAAATGACCTATCCTTCCAAAGAACGAGGCCACCATTTTTTTTCCCGCACTTCGATCTCTCTTCACTTTAGTTGGCAACTCCTCGAAAGGAAACACCCACTGAGCAGATTGTCTTTTGGTTTTAGGATCATAACAGTAAATCCAGCTTTCGTCACCTGTTAGTATGTCGAACACAGCATTTGAGTCACCTCCGTTAAATCTTTCAATCATTTTACGACACCAATCCACACGATGGAGTTTTTGAGCCTCAGTCAAATTATGAGGTATCCACCGGGCGCAAAGCTTCCTGACCGCTAAATGTTCGTGGAGTATTTTGTGCACTTGACTCATACCGATGCCTAAGCTTGTCCGAATCTGTTGATAGGTCACTCTTTTGTCAGTCTCTATCATACGCCGCACAACACAGATGTTATCTTCAGTCGTCGCCGTAGAAGGCCGTCCCTCACGTAAATCATCAGTGAGATTAGTGCGACCACGTTTAAACTCATTAAACCAGTTGTAAATAGTCGCACGAGATGGGGCTTCATCGTGAAAGGCCAATCGTAGTCTATCATAACTTTCTTGTTGACTTAAATGACATCGAAAGTCATAAAAAATCATTGCACGAAAATTTTCTCGTGTTAAATTCATGATGACGTGACACAGACAATTTTCAATTTGCCGCCAAATCGTAAAACAAATGACAAATGAATGAAATATATACTCAGTAATATTGGCAAAGAGTTATATTTTCAAATTTTAGAATTATTTTTTTATTATATTGTTTATAAGTGGCCAGTTCTAAGAACTTTCAGTTTGACCCTCGTATTTGTTAAATTATTATTTTGAGGGACGAGGGATTGTTAAATTATAAAGCTAACCCATACTAACATAGACATCTGTAATTATCTAAGGGGCGTGTCTATTCCTGAAAGTCTTTCGGTTTTCTCTGCGTCTTAAAAGCATTAACAACACAGACTGCCTCTTGTATGTACACATAATTACAAATGCCATAGACAATTTCCTTACAATGTACAATTTCTTCCCATTGTAGGTGCTATAGCTACAGTCTTGGTGATCAAAGTTGATTGCTAGCTAGCTACGAAACACTTTTAACGGCAAAGCTCCAAAGCGTAGTTTGAATGGAGGATAATTACGCATTGCCCGGCTCTCAAACATACGGGTGCCAATTTAACACCACATAGGTATATACAAAACGATTGTAATCGATTTTTGATAATATAACTATGGTTTGCTTACTACTATTTAAATTAGTATGAAAATTAATGTTTTCACATGTACTAATAAAATAAAAAAAATAAATATGGCATATGAAAGAATATTTTTTTTATCAATGCAAATGTATAGTACATTTTAATCGATAAAAAAATGAAACATCAAATCTACACTATAGCGCCATCTATGGATAGTAAATAGTATTAAACCGTGACGCACCACCTTCACTCTTAATTATTATAATACTGATGCTTCACAACACCTTTACAAGCTTATTCATGCTTGTCTATGTCGTATGTCGCGAATACAGGATATTAAATTAGAACTTTCGTATCGCATAACTTTCCGACTGAGTTGCGCCATTTGAGTTTGAAGGCGGAATGTATGCTTCATGTTTGAGAAAATCTTACTTCATCGCCACTTTATTAATTAAATTACTATGCACAGGTGATATTACAATAGGAATAGTTAGTATCGATATTCATATTATAGCCATAATATAAATATATTGCAGCAGAGAATTACTCAATTTATAGATAATACCATCAAACCCACTTTTGGTTTATTCAACAGTGTGCTACATTCTAGTAAAGCTTATTAAATTAACCAAGATTAGACGTAATTTATGAATAACCCCCTATATATAATAAAAGTGCATAGCAATATAACAATACATCATGAAAAAAAAAGATTATGTATTTCATGACATGTTAATTCAAAAGAGCTCACTTTAAAAACATTTTAATAATTCTTATATTTTATCAATTTCACAATCACAATGTTATACTGGAATATATTTTTTAAGCATTTTTAATTAAGAATGTTTTAATAATTGATTTGCCTGTGAATATTTAATAAATGTAATACAATATAGTTGATTCCTCTATAAACATCTTCATGAATGTCATATATGTTTATAGTGTGGCCGTTCTTGTTCTATGAGACTTGTATGCACATAAGCCGCGAGCATAATCACCCCCATTCATTGGTGGCTCGGCGGGATTTGCTCGTGGCTATGCTCATTGCGCCTTGAACTTTCCTAGCGGAAATAAATCTGTAATCGGGTGACCCGTTGATTTAATGTTCCAGTTGCATATGCTATTCACAAACTAGTTCAATATATTAGAGACATAATTTAAGTCCTTTTTTGCTGATGCTTTTCATCATGAGTTTATTTTTAACAGGCTTTTATTTAACAACATTTTACATAGCTAGGAATATGTAAAACTAAACTTATTTTATTATATACCCTTATTATATAATTTGGGTCGGAATAAAAATTCAACATTGAATTGGTAAACCTATTTAGACAAAAGGCTTTTATATTTAAAGACTCCTGTATTCAAGAGACTACTCGGATTTTATGTGTAAGTGACTGTTGGAAGCAGTTGTCAGTTGGAACTCGGGCTGTGCTTGCGAATATGGCAGTATTATTGTCAATATGTAGAAATGACTATTATTTCTATTCACGAAAAAAAAAAATACTTATATTATTACATATTTATGGAATAGGGAGAATGATGTTTGTCTGTCCGTAGCGAGCCCTCACTCCTCAAATATAATGCTTATAAACAGTTTTTTTTTATCCATACATTATCCCTATCTATCTTTATGTGATACTCATGTCTGTTTCAAATGTCGCCATATTGAAGTCAGGGTTCGATTCCCAGTTAGGTCAATATAGATTTTTTTTTTATATTATCACGGGTCTGAGTGTTGTGTTACCTACGTTGTCTCAGATACTGCATAATACGGGGATTTTAGTTTCTCATTTTGGAATCTAAATGAGAAACTAAAAGAAACTAAAAATGTTGTCTGATATTTATTTATTATGCAAATGTAAATTTGTAGTAAAAAACATTACATTATAAATAAATACAAGAAAGCGATAGATATTATATTTAACATGTCTTTTTTATC